CCAATCTGCCTGGAACACCCCCCTCCTGCCAGTCAGAAAGCCCCACACGAATGACTATCGACCAGTCCAGGACCTCCAGGAAGTAAATAAAAGAGTCCTGGATATACTCCCAACCGTTCCTAACCCATACACTCTCCTAAGCTCTCTGGCACCCTCTAGAGTCTGGTACACTGTATTAGACTTGAAGGATGCCTTTTTCAGCCTGCTGCTAGCGCCTCAAAGCCAACCCCTGTTTGCCTTCGAATGGCACGACCCAGAGGAAGGCTACAGTGGACAATTAACCTGGACACGATTGCCCCAAGGATTCAAGAATTCGCCCACCATCTTCGACGAGGTGCTGCATGAAGACCTCGGTGAGTACAGGAGAGAGCACCCCAATCTCACCCTCCTTCAATACGTAGATGACATCCTGATTGCTGCCGATACCGCCAAAGATTGTGAGCAAGGGACCAAAGATCTGCTGGCCACCCTAGGAACCTTAGGGTACCGGGCCTCTGCGAAGAAGGCTCAGATATGCCAAGAGAGGGTGAGTTACCTGGGATACATACTGGAGGGTGGACAGCGGTGGTTGTCAGATGCTAAGAAAGAGACAGTCTTGAAAATCCCTACTCCCACCTCCCGGAGGGAGGTGAGGGAATTCCTAGGATCGGCTGGCTAGTGCCGCCTCTGGATACCAAGTTTTGCTGAGATCGCCAGGCCTCTATATAAAGCCACCAAGGAGGGGAAGGCCTTTGAAAGGACTGAGACAGAATAAATTGCCTTTAATCAGATAAGAAAGCTCTTTTGGCTGCTCCAGCCCTGGGCCTACCAGACATTACGAAACCCTTTTGCCTCTTTGTAGACGAGCGCGAAGGAGTAGCAAAAGGGGTTTTAACCCAGGCTTTAGGCCCCTGGAGTAGCCCGGTAGTGTATTTGTCTAAAAAGCTGGATCCCATAGTCACCGGCTGGCCACCGTGCCTAAGAATCATTGCGGCAACCACGCTCTTAGTTAAGGATGCCGACAAACTGACCCTGGGACAGGAGATATGGATCATGACCCCGCATGCCATTGAGGGGGTCCTAAAACAGCCTCCTGATAGGTGTATGAGCAACGCTCGCATGACCCACTATCAAAGCTTGTTGATCAACCCCCCTAGAGTATGGTTCCATCCCAGTGGGGCCCTCAACCCTGCTACCCTGCTACCTGACCCCGACCTAGATGCCCGACTACATGACTGTGCGGGAATCCTAGAGCAGGTACATGGACTTCGGAAGGACTTGACCAATCGTCCCCTCCCGGATGCAGAGGCCACCTGGTTCATGGATGGAAGCAGCTTCGTGCGGAACGGGTGCAGGTACGTCTATATAAAGCCACCAAGGAGGGGAAGGCCTTTGAAAGGACTGAGACAGAATAAATTGCCTTTAATCAGATAAGAAAGCTCTTTTGGCTGCTCCAGCCCTGGGCCTACCAGACATTACGAAACCCTTTTGCCTCTTTGTAGACGAGCGCGAAGGAGTAGCAAAAGGGGTTTTAACCCAGGCTTTAGGCCCCTGGAGTAGCCCGGTAGTGTATTTGTCTAAAAAGCTGGATCCCATAGTCACCGGCTGGCCACCGTGCCTAAGAATCATTGCGGCAACCACGCTCTTAGTTAAGGATGCCGACAAACTGACCCTGGGACAGGAGATATGGATCATGACCCCGCATGCCATTGAGGGGGTCCTAAAACAGCCTCCTGATAGGTGTATGAGCAACGCTCGCATGACCCACTATCAAAGCTTGTTGATCAACCCCCCTAGAGTATGGTTCCATCCCAGTGGGGCCCTCAACCCTGCTACCCTGCTACCTGACCCCGACCTAGATGCCCGACTACATGACTGTGCGGGAATCCTAGAGCAGGTACATGGACTTCGGAAGGACTTGACCAATCGTCCCCTCCCGGATGCAGAGGCCACCTGGTTCATGGATGGAAGCAGCTTCGTGCGGAACGGGTGCAGGTACGTGGGTGCGGCGGTGGTCACCGACACAAACACCATGTGCGCGGAGGCTCTGCCCCCTGGGACGTCAGCTCAATGAGCAGAACTCATTGCACTCACCAAGGCACTGACACTGGGGGCTGGGAAACGGCTTAACGTTTACACAGACAGCCGTTATGCATTTGCTACAGCTCATGTTCACGGGGCAATCTACCAGGAAAGAGGGCTATTGACAGCAGAGGGATGGACAATAAAAAATAAGCAGGAAATCCTCGACCTGCTCGCAGCCTTATGACTTCCTGCCAAGTTAGCCATAATCCACTGCCAGGGACACCAAAGAGCCAATGACCCGGTAGCGAAAGGTAACCAAAAGGCTGACCAGGCTGCAAAGGCAGTAGCCCTTACCTCGGTCCCTACCATGGCCTTACAACTACCAGACCCAGGGGACCCAGTCTTACCAGACCAGCCCAAGTACTCCCAGGAAGAGTTGCAACGTATCAGAAAGCTCCCCAGAGCCCAGGAAATAAAGGGATGGTGGCATACACCAGAAGGAGAACTTATACTGCCGGATTGGCTCGGGGACACGATATTAAAACATATGCACCAATCCACTCACCTGGGAACCCGGAAAATGAAGGACTTAATTCAACATGCCAGGATCAAAATTCACCAGCAGAATACCAAGATAGATCAGGTTGTGTCTGCCTGCAAGACCTGTCAACTTACAAACGCAAGGGTCGGATCAAATGAAAAAGGAGCCAGGCTCAGAGGCACCAAACCGGGAGCACAATGGGAGGTCGACTTCACTGAAATCAAACCAGGGAAGTATGGTTATAAATATCTTTTAGTATTTATAGATACCTTCTCTGGCTGGGTAGAGGCATACCCAACCAAGCATGAAACAGCTCAGATGGTGGCCAAGAAGCTGCTGGAAGACATCTTACCCAGGTATGGTTTTCCTGCTATGATAGGATCCGACAACGGGCCAGCCTTTATTTCACAGGTAACGCAGGTAGTAACCAGGGCTATTGGGGCAAATTGGAAACTACATTGTGCTTATAGACCCCAAAGTTCAGGTCAGGTAGAGAGAATGAACAGAACTCTAAAAGAGACCCTTACCAAATTAACCATGGAGACTGGCGGGGACTGGGTGGCTCTCCTACC